GTGACCAATTATTTAAGATTATGACTATTAATTTGGATATTCTGTAACTAAAAAATAATGTGTGATCGATAAATTGTGACTAAAAAATAATATGTGACCTAAAAATTTGAATTGTGACTTATGAAATTAGTGACTTGTGATCGATAAATGAATTGTGATTTATAAATTTTTTGATTTGTGATCGATAAATGAATTTATAACCAAATTGTATACAATTACGATCAAGTTGTGACTTATAAATTTTTTTATTTGTGATCGATGAACAAATTGTAACTTATAGAATTTTTTAGTTGTGATCGTAAAATAATTTGTGTCCTATAAAATTTCTAATTTGTGACAGTATAATAATTTGTGACTTATAAAAATTTTGATTTGTGATCGATGAACAAATTGTGACACGTAAAATTTTTGAATTGTGACCATAAAATAATTTGTGACGTTTCAATTTTTGATTTGTGACCGATGAACTAATTGTGAGCTGTAAAATTTTTGAATTGTGATCGTAAAATAATTTGTGACATAAAATTTGTGATTTGGGACCAAATTAAATGGAACTGTAACATTAATGTATTTAATTAATAAAATATATATTTAATTATTTTTTTTTATAAATAAAATTTAAAAAACTCAGAAATTTGAGAAATTTTAAACTTAATGTCTTAAATTTGAAATTAGTAAAACTGAACTTCTTAATTATGCAATTTTCCCAAAAGGGAAATGCCATGCTCTGTTCTTTCTTTTATCCATGAAATTTGCTAGTAGTTTTCCAAATTTTTGCACAAAATATTGTGACCTATGAACAATAATGTATGGTTATGTTATGCAGCGAAGGGAAGAATAAGAAATGTTTTGGTAAATGAGCTAAAGACTCACTTCAGGCTAAAAGAACCCAAATATCCCGTGCTAAGACTTGAAATGACTTACATTTCGATTAGACTCGGTGACTATTATTTTATTCCACAATGCCCAAATTTGTTAGCTGACCCGAAATTTACAGACAATTAAATAAGGCTTAATTTGTTCATTGTTGACTGCAATCTGTTATGTATCTTTGCTTCTTGCTGGATGAGCATATAATAACATATAATAGCCACACGTCGGAGTAACTTTCAAGGGAATTATCAAAACATCCACTAAGCAAACTATAACAGTAGCAACAGTAACAACTGGAATAAAAGAAAAGAAACGAATGGCAGATATGATGTCACTCCTAAATTGATGTGCTTTTTATGTGAAAGACCTCATTGGGGGCGAAGTGTTCTCAGAAACGGATGGTGAATGCATATTGTCAACTAGCAAGTAGCATAATGAGTTTAAAGCAAGATGTCCCACAAGCTACTGTCATGGAAAGATCGACTTGGAAGAGGATGAGGATGTAGTTGGCGCATTCTCACACCGGTGCAATACACTATCGAACCGAGCTACTGGAAATGGTGATGTTCCCTTGAAAGAGGTAAAGATGGAAGAATCGAAGGCTCGCATTTATTGGGCTAAAGGCCTAATGTACATCGATGTGAAGGTCAATGGAAAGCTAATCATGGCTATGAGACTTGGGTATATGAGTGAGAATGACATGTCGGATTTGAGTAAAAATGGACTCTTGATGGGCAGAAGACCAGTAAAATGGAATTTTATGAGGATTGTGTATTTGGGAAACAGAAGGAAATAAGATTCACTAAAGGAAGACACTACACAAAGTGAACACTTGAATGTATCCATTCAGATCTTTGGAGACCAGCTAGGGTACCATTTAAATGTGGCTATTATTACTTGTTGATAGTAATTAATGACTTCTCCAGGAAAGTTTGGGTATTTTTCTTGAAACAGAAGAGTGGTGTGTTTGAGACCTTCAAGGAGTGGAAAACATTGGTAGAGAAGTAGACCGGAAAGCAAGTAAAATGTCTACACACTAATAAGGAATTGGAGTTTTGTTCAGATTAATTCAATAGCTTCTGCAGGGCTGAAGGCATCTTGAGACACTTGACAGTGCCTAGAATTCCTCAACAGAATAGTGTGGTAAAACGGATGAACGAAACCTTGATGGAAAAGGTTTGTTGTGTGCTTTCAAATTCTGGGTTGCCTAAGTCTTTTTGGGCTGAAGCTGCTACTACAGCTTGTTTTCTGATTAATCGCTTATCCTCAGTTGCCATTGATAAAAAGACACCAGAAGAGGTATGGTCTGGTAAACTTTCTTGCTATTTTGATTAAAAAATTCTGGGTGTCCTGTTTATACTCATGTGGATAATGGGAAGTTTGAGCTTAGGTCTAGAACGTGCATTTTTCTTGGATATAAATCAGGTATGAAAGGGTATAAGTTGTGGTGTTCCAAGACTAAAAAGGTGGTTGTTAGTAGGAATGTAGTATTTGATGAACTTGTTATGGTTCGTGGTTCACCTCTTGGGAATTCTGATAAAGGTGAGGAACAGAATCATTCAACTCAAGTGGAGTTGGAAATTGGTTCAGGCAAATAATCAGAGGTTGCAGAACAGTCGACTATATATAAGTCCAGTTCGAGATCGATAGACAGTAATATCCTGCC